TGAAGACTTCATAGATCGCAGTGTATTGTTGTTATTTTTAAAAATAATAAGTATGTGTTTTCTATAAACAAATGTCAAAGTAACAGTTAACAGCATCAAAAGGGGCGTGAAATTAGTAAAGAGCAGAAAGTAAATACATAATTTAAAATTTGTAACAAAGATGAACTAGAAACACAAAGTAAAACTAAAACAAATTCTATGGATATGTTAATTATATTTGTTAATTTTATTAGACAATTGTATCGTTGGTATGTTATTAGTATATTATAACCATTTTTATTGTAGAATTTAATATACTTCATACTTCCTATATATAATTTAAATTATTTTTTTATCATGTATTATAAGTACTTGGTCTGTTAAATTAATTTAAAAATCTATTATTTTGAAAACTATTTACGCTTAAGCATTAAGTTGAGTATTTATTTGCGTAGTTAAAATTACGAATTGAATTAGTGTGAAATACCACATTAAACGGCTAAAATACCAACCAACTTCAATAAAATTACTAACAGCAGGTCTAATTTGGTTTCTTTTTTTATTTCATATCAAATATAATGACTAAAAATGCCAATAATGAAATGGCCACAACAATAACAACAATGCTAAAACAACAGATACATTGTAATCATAATGATAACATAAAAAGCAAAATAGACAAAATATATCCGAAGAAATCAAAGTAAACCACAGCAAATCAAAGTAAAAACTAAATACCAAATATGAAATGCTTGATGCTTGTACACTGTCATTAACATATGTTGAAATGCGTTACAAGGGCAACCAAAACATAATGAAGTCAGACTATGGAGAAAGAGCTGAAGACGTAAAGATAACAAATTTTATTGTTAAAAAAATAAAAACAAAAAAATATTATTCCAGCTGTGCACTTAACTGACGTTTTGGATTGATTACCGACCCATCAATGTCTGACAGCTAATGTTAATCACGCTGTTGTGAGTTCGCGGCGACAACTGTTAAAGTTACTGCTGTTAATGCTGTCGCTGTTAATGATGGCGCTGTTATTTTTTTTAAATGTTGAAAAATTTAAAATAAAAATACTTCAGCTTTAGTATGAAACTGTGAAATTGTGAATATATATGATGGCAATATGATAATGATGTTGCTGATGTAAACTCTATATGTCTGCACAAATCAATATAATCAAAAATAAAATTGATGTTTATGAAAATTAAACAAATATAAAATATATTAAATAAACACCTCTGGTCATTAATAACAACTCCAAGTTATTCATTCTCTTATACTAGTTGATGTGGCAGACATATCTGTTATGTACAAATGCTTGCAAAAACTCATTAAAATCAGTCTTGTTTACTTAATTGCCTTTTTTATTATTTAATAACATATGAATGAAATAAAACAGTTTCGTATGTAATCACAAGTGGTTTTCTGTTCATTATTATTAATTTAATAATACTTGTATTGAGATTTTTATGCAGATTGCAGTAACAACCACGTATGTACATACGAACCACAACCTGCGCAACATCTTCAACTTCAACTAAATTAACATCATCATTATCAACTTCACATTGTTAAGTGCTGTCAAAGAAATTGGCCATATTTATTGCTTTTTCTGTTGAACTGCAATGGATGTGTTATTCGTATACGTATCTTTTAATGCACGTATGTCTCTGGCTTCTCACGCTCATCGTCACAGAATGTCAAAAGTTATGCCATTAGCTAACTTTGGCTAACTATGACTTTGAATTGAAAGCTACAAACGAGTAAATCTACACAGACTATAAATCTCTTACATCTATCTCGAGTGATTTTCATGTCTAGTACATAAAATTTGAAATTATTTTAAATTATGTATAGTTTTGTTGCCGATGCTTATTAATGCTTATTAATTTTTAA